GAAACAGAATGGGTAATGGTAGAAAGGAATATGAAAGATTACAGAGACTGAATACATCTGCGCTGGCCATTGACAACGATTTTGAGCCATGTCACCTATTGTCTCCAGCCATTGATTCCTAGAGTCCCGAGGGCCCCAACCCGGGAGTCTGCATCTCCCTACCTGACTCAGTTTAACTGTCAAGGATTTCATGGATTGATGCCATGTTTTTGTTTGGCCACCACTGGCTCTTTTCCAACCTGCACCTATATCAGCTAGCAATGCCCGTCGGGGGAGGCGGTGGTTAGGCATGCGCAGCACGTGACCTAGCCATCTCAATCTGTGTAACTTTATAGCCTCGTCGATTGATTTTCCCTCTTTGCCCAACACTCTACGCCTAACGTCAACATTACTTACCTTATTAAACCACCTAACGTGAGACAGAGATCGCAGACATCTATGATCGAAAGCAGTCAACCTTTTCATGTCTTCAACGCGTATTGGCCATGTTTCAGAGCCATAGAGAAGGACGGAGCGAACTGATGAGCAGTACACACGTCCCTTGGTTGATAACCGGATGTCACGCCTACGCCAGAGATGGTGTAAGTCAGCGAAAGCAGCTCGAGCTTTTCGGATCCGTGCTGAGATTTCATCGCCAATCAGTCCGTTGGTGCTAATACAACTTCCCAAATAGGCGAAGTGGTCAACATGTTCTATCACTTCACTCCCTATCACTAAGTTAGGAGTTGACGTGGTCCAGTCCTGTAGCAGCATCTTACATTTTGCAGGGGCGAATCGCATGCCAAATATACGAAGATTGCTGCTCAAGGTGTTCTGAAGACTCTGCATTTTGTCAACATCCTCCCTTAACAGGACTATGTCATCTGCATATTCTAAGTCCATAAGACTATTCCCTGGTAACAAGTCGATTCCTAAGTCATTACGTTCAGTTAAGGATACTTCCATCAGCATATCTATGATGAAGTTAAACAGAAATGGGGAAAGTGGACATCCCTGTCGGACACCACTGGTTGTTACCAATTCAGATGACAATTCCCCATAAGCCCTTACACGACTACGTGAGTTTGAATAGAGTGCCTTGATTAGTGCAATGTACTTTCTTGGCACTCCCTTCACAGTCAGACATTGCCATAGTACCTTTCGATCCACGGAGTCGAAGGCCGCCTTCAAGTCAAGAAATATGACAATTGTTGGACGCCGAAAAGTGTGTCTATGTTCTAGAATCTGTCGAAGAGTGAAGATATGATCTATGCACCCTCTACCTGGTCTAAAGCCTGCTTGATTTTCCCTTGTCTGTTCCTCCCGAGTTCTGCTTAGTCTATGCATGATTACTGAGCCTAGGATTTTAGAGACTATGTTCGTTAGGCTGATCCCCCTATGATTATCACACGAGGACTTGTTTCCCTTCTTGAATATCGGTATAATAAGTGACTTACCCCAGTCTGATGGTACTGTCTCTGATTCCCAGACTTTGCCTAGTACCTCAGTTAATCTACAAACTAGTATGTCACCCCCATATTTAAACACCTCCGGAATAATTCCGTCGGGTCCTGCCGCTTTGCCTCGTTTCAAATTACTGATAGCTTTTGTGACCTCACTACAGACGGCGGACCAGTGTCTATATCCCATTCGGGTGTGTGTGGATGGCGGGGAGGTTCAGTGTGGCTGTAGGCAAGTTAAATTGTTCCTCAAAGTGTTCTTTCCAGCGTTCAAGGCGTCTATCCTGAGAGCTAATTAAGGAGCCATTTTTCTCAGAAATAGTCTCACTTATGAATTGCCTTCTCCCACCCGTTTCCTGATGAGTCTAAAGAGTTGCCTAGTGTTGCCTATCGCCGATGCTTTTTCCATCTCTTTCGCCTTTGTCACCCACCACTGTTCACGGTCCTTGCGGAGACTTTTAGTAAGTTTCCTTTTGTGCAGCTTTCGCTCCTCATTGAATTCGGAGCTCGCCGGAATAAGTCTTCTAGCATCTATCAGTTCGGATGAGGCAGTCGAAATCCAGTGGTTTTTACTCACCTTTGGATTTGCCTTATTCACAGCTTTTACAGCTGTATCTATAGCTGACTGAATATTCTTCCAGGCTTCTCCAGGGTGAGCACAGCTGTCGAACTCAGATATGCGTTTAGCTAGTTCTTCCTCAAATAGGGATTTAGTTTCCTGATCGAGCTGGGGACGTGATGGTTTTACCGCCAGCTGTTTCCTACGTCCGTTCAGTCGTAAGCACACACGAGCCCGGACCAGTGCGTGATCGGTATCTACACACGTGTTCCAGAAGGAGCGACAATCTCCTACCGACCCACGCCAACGATAGCTTATTGCTATGTGGTCTATTTGTGTCCAGCGTTGGTTTGATGATGGGGGTCGCCAGGTTAAACAGTGTCTCTCCTTGTGTTTAAAGTTAGTGCTTACAAGAAACAAATGATTATCTGAACAGAACTGTAGGAGACGGTCACCGTTGTCGGTTCGCTGGCACGGAACTCCATAGGTGCCACCGACATCCTTCTCAGATTGACACAATTTCCCTACTTGAGCATTAAAGTCACCAGCTAGAACGACTATATCTGAGCGTTTAGCCTTTCTCACCAAACTAGACAGCTTTTGGTAGAACTCATCCTTCGTTTCATCCGAACTGCAGTCAGTGGGGGCGTAGGCGGAGATTACGAAAAGGCATCGGCGAGTAGTGCAGTCCTTTCTCCTTCTTACTGATCCGTTCAGACGGACAGCACACATTCGGCTATCTACTGGGATCCAGTCAAGCAATGTCTTTTCTGCCCTAGTACTCAAGCTATCCCTACGCCAGCTAATCCTCGTGAACTAGCTGTGGCATCTCCTGACACCCTCAAGGTGAATTTTGAAGATTCATCCTGTTGGCCAGGTGGGGTTAGGTGAATAACCACACTTGGGTCTTGTATGCGTGTTTCTGAAACACAACATACATCAATGGCTCGGGATGCCAGGGTCTTAGCTAGTGATGCTTGTTGTCCTATTTGGCAAAGTGTCCTAACATTAAATGCTCCTATATGAAATTGGTGGCGTGGCTTTAGGAGACTATCGGTGGTGGTTTTTTGGCTTCCGTCGTTTTTAGTGGACACAGAGTGAAGAGGGAGTGAGGAGTCATCAAATCTACGCGTCATCATCGAATAAAGCAAAGAACGGTCAGACCTCTGCCTCAAATCCGTCAACTTTGCGAAGGCCTTCAACAGCGCTGACCACGAAGAAATTTCGTAATTATTTAAACACTACAATAAAGCGTTCACTACACCAAATCTTTACCAGCCTAATTCAACAGCGATCGTATGACAATGCCTGACATGTGTCAGGTGATTCAAAACGGACAACTCAACCGAACTCTCCATATGATGAATAAAGGAGTAAGACGAGGCTGCCAGTCTACTACCCATTGGTGACATTCCTAATTGTGGTGGACTGGATTATGTGTTATACTGCGTATGACAGCCAGAAGACAGGAATGAGTTGCGCCAATGAGAAGACTCTAGAAGATCCCTACTTCGCCGATGATTTATGTCTGATGTCACACAAAATGGAAGACTTACAGGCGAAAACCAACAAAATGCCAGAAGAAGCAATGCAGGGAAGGCAGGAATTCAAATGAACATAGAGATATCGGTGATGAAGACAAGCAACCACCACTACGACCAACGACAATAACATCCCCCAATCACCACCAACGGAACGAATTTGAAATACATCGCTTCTTCCACTTAACTGGCTAGGCAGTATCCTTTTGACTACATGGTGGAGGCACGGATAAGGATGTCAAAACCAGAATCAGAAATGCAAGACAGACAAACATTCATCCCTCTGAAATCGGTTTGGAAATCTTCTACACTCCGCCTCAGCATAAACAAAGTTAGGATTTTCTATAAAAATGTCGAGTCAGTTCTTCCATAACGGTTGGAATCTTGGCGCGAAGCAAAAAGCATTTCCGAAAGGCCAGCGCAGACTTTTATCAACAGCTACCTTCCTTCCACATTAAAGATCGAATGGCTATGAAGAATTAAGAACACGAAACTCTGGGGTCAGGCTTACCATGAACCAATTGCTCAAAGAATATGTGGAAGAAAATGGAGATGGATCGGAAACACAATTGAGAGATCATTGAATGACATCAAGCGACGACGGTGGAGTGGAAATCGAATGGGAATATTGACTTTGTAAATTAAAATACCTCAGAATAGTTCAGAAAATTATTTAAACATGTGGGGAGAAGTTAAACTTTAGACATCGAAATGAAGGGTCACACTAGTCATGTGAAAAAGCGGATTTTTACGCATAAAATAAATAAATAAATAAACATTCCTACATATGTGTAAAAATAATGGATAAAAAGCATAGAACTGTTACACTGAGTGCCTTTCGCTGACGTGCGATAAAAATACCTCCCAGTCTTACATTGGAGTATCAACAGAGTAAGAAAACCATCAATTAAACCACTGATACTTAATGGTGTTTAGTTTAACTTGCCCTCAACCACATTGCATACATGTGTTAACATAGGACTTTCCTTATGCCAAACCTAATATATCTTTAGCCTAACTCTAACGCGAAAATATCCCTAAACTCTAATCTATCTCGAAACAACCCTAATATTTCCATTACTCCGTTAACATAATCCCACAGACGTTTACAACAAAGCTGAAGTAAAGGTTGCAAAGTCTCAACTAACGCCTACTTTCTCTAGTGAGTAAATTATGAAATGGCTTGATTTACTGCACGAAATAGAAATGGGTGCTATTTCTCAGTATGGCTGATTCTAGTTTAGCTCCGTATGCTTCTTTTCCACATAATCAGTAATTATTGAGGGCTAGTAAGTTTGTTTTTCAGCGTCATTTGAGCTTTCTCATGCCCGATTCGGAACTGACTAGCATTATTTCAGCACATCTCACATTTCATTAAGCCTCCGTTGCCATTTTTAAGAACTATCGTCATTATTTATCCACATAGTAAGTTCTTTTCAGGCACACAAAGCATTTACTTACCATAAAAGGTACTACAGATGCATAGTGCATAACTATTGTAAACTTGCAACACCCACGGATATTGAATACAATGGTACCTCCTCGATGCTTATAGTCTGACTTGGCCCTATATGATTCAGTAAAGCAGATTTCATGCAAAATATAATCCAGCATATAGAAGCAACTTCTTGAAACTCAGAAAAACTTACCGGATGATTTTATACTCAAAAGGGGAATGTACTGCAGCATTTTCACAGGCCCGCCAAACTTAATCCAATATCCAATATCACTTTTACGAGCGAGTATAAACCAATTTGATTTCCTTGTGCTCACCTCTTGATTGTGAGGCATACGTCCCTGATCTTCGATAAACTTCTGCGTGGCTCGTACTGTCACTCGACTGTCATAGCTTTGGTTGACTCCAAAGGGAGTAGTGCTGGGATTAATTATATGTCGTTTGTAGTATGAGGTATGTTAAGACTGTTACTACTGTGATTGGAGTTGATCCTTTCGCCAGTTAGTCCTCCGGTATCGTCGACAAGAGAAAAGAGATAGTAATAATAGTAATAATAGATATAATTAGTGAAGTTATTCAGACTAAGAGACAGAAACGGAAACAGGAAAGCGTAACAACAGTCAGCTCATTAAGTTTGAAGAACAATATATATATATATATATATATATATATATATATATTATATATATATATCGGTTATAATGATAACAAAAGTAATAATTATAAGATTAATAAGTTGTCAGGAGAGTAAGACGGGAGAGAATGTAAAGAAGTAAAACGACGAGTTTAATTGTCTACCCCTGAATGGTGTATGCGATTTTAAGGAGATAGGCCATTTGGATGCAGTCCCTGTGTCGCTGCATGGTTGTCCAGCCTTCGCTTAAAGGCATGCAAAGACGGTGCCATAGCTACATCTGCCGGCAAGGAATTCCAGGGGCGGCAAACCCACAGTGAAAAGAAGTGGGAGCGCACCCGGGTCCTTGCCCTCTGGTGAGCTATCCTTCTGGGATTTCCACGAGGGAGCCTATACATACTCAATGGCAGAACACCTTTGTTTGGGTGATTCTGGTCATCCGTTATTTTGTAATAATAATCAAATCCCCCCTAAGCCGATGGTAGCTAAGTGTGAACAGGCCTAATTTCTTCAGCCTTTCATCATATGGTTTGTTTCGGAGACCAACTACTCTTTTTGTTGCCCGTCGTTGGACTCTTTCGAAGAGGTTGGCGTCTCTTCTAAGCACTGCAGGTGCAATAATATTATGCACCTCAAGGTGTGGCCTGGAGTATGTTTTGTACAACCTTAGAAAGAGCTCAGGAGTGAGCGCACCTTACTGTCTATGCGTAAAGTGCATGACCGCGTATGCCCTCTCTACATCCCCTGTGTAATTTACGCTTGTGTCCATTTTTTCCATTAGAACTAGACCCAAGTCGCGTTCCGACGTTGTGCAGGACAAGCTTTCATTGCACAGGGTGTAACTTGCATTCTGCAGTCTACAGGTGCGCAACTTCACTACTTTGCACTTTTTCAAGTTGAAAGTCATGCCACTGGCCACCACCCAGTCTTCCAGAAGGTTTAGGTCTTCCTGTAGCCTATCTGAGTCCTCCGGACACTTTATCGCCCTCCATATTTTTACGTCGTCAGCGTATAGGAGAGTTGGGCAGCTTAGACGGCGTGGTAGATCATTGATAATGATCAAAAACATCAGTGGTCCTAGGATAGAACCCTGCAACACTCCTGATGACGATCTGTGCCAAGATGATCGGACTCGGTTAACCTTAGTGCAAAATTGCCTGTCGGCTAGGTAGTCCTTTAACCATGACAGAAGTGGCTCACCTATGCCTGCCTGGCTTATTTTATGTAGGAGAAGGTCATGGTGAACAGTGTCAAATGCCCTCTCAAAGTCTAGGAAGACCACATGGACTGGTACATTCATATCCCAGCATGATGTCCAGTCGTCCCAAGCTGATAGCAGGTTTGTTACACAGGATCTGCCTCTCCTGAAACCGTGTTGGGCTTCATGGAGTATATTAGACCCATCGAAATATACCCTGATGTGATCGTCAATAATACTTTCCGGTACTTTCGATACCACTTAGGTTAGAGCTATTGGTCTACAACTAGTGGAATTTAGCCTATCCCCACCCTTGAAGATCAGAGAAATGATGGCTCTTTTTCACTCCTTTGGCAGTGTCCCCGAATCCATTGAGTAATAAATAAATAAATTTATTCTCATAGTGCAGTACATGAGGGACGCCAGTTTACAGGCATCATCAAACTGTTACAGAAATAGAACCATATTATTCAGTCACATTTTACAGTCGATAGCAAAATATGTTTTACATTTACGCTGGAGATTATACATACACTTGATAAATGTTAATCCCAGTAGTATAAAACATCCTTTCCACTTATGTACAATCATTTCTGTGCACAGTTGGAAAAATCTGCTAGATTGTCAGTGAGTGCAACACATCAGGAAATACAGAAGTATTGTCTTCGCATTAACAAAAAAACCAGGTCTTTGATGGATGGGTTATAACTGCCTGGAAAAAAATAAAGCTTGAAGTCAATTTTCATACATAATTTTGTTTTGCACAGAATCCTTGAATTATAGTTCATTGATGTGTTATTTTGAAATCGGTGATATGTTTATCTCATTTTATCTGCAATGTCATTGTTGGGAGTAAAATACATAAGCTTTAGACGCATTAATTAATGGATTTCTACTGCTTGTGGGTATTTTCTTCTCGTGAGGAAGGTTTTTGAATTTCAGTTGTTCCGACAGGAGTTGTGAATATTAACTGCTCAGTAACATTACGGATATAAGTTCACCACATTATCTTAGGAAAGTTGGGTTGTAGTTGGTGAGGCATATATGATGCCCGACGAGCGTACATCTGTCCATGTGATGTTGCGGTGAGTTATACTTTTTTCATGTTGTCGGTTTATGTTCATTTTATTCCACTTATTGTGTTGGGTAGAAGTTTTACAAACGAAATTTTTTGTCTGTTTGAGGATAAGTATCTTAATCGTTAATGTTTTATCTAAAATTATAAATATAGGCAAAAAACAACAGGTGTAGTATTTGAGCTTATACATTAAATGGACCTATCATTTCGGAGGCTCTCAGATAGGAACTAGGACTACTATCGCTTGCAAACTCTTGTAGTTTGTCGTTAAGCACTTTTTTGAAGGAGGCCAATGTACCTGCTTGACGCATTTCCATTGGTAGTTTATTCCATATCTGTGCATACCTAATCAAATAAAACTTTTGCCTGGTGGCTGTTTTACATTGTTCGATAGCTACTGTACCCTTTGTGTGTCTTAGTTTGTAGCCACTGTCATCTGAAAGTCAAATGCCATTAGCAGAGGTAAAAACTAAGTGGTTTAGAAGCTTATGGTAAAGTGTTAAGTTTAGTCTCAGGCGTCTTGGCCATAGTGTTTCTAGTCCTAGGGTATCACATCTAGTGGGGTAGTTCGCACCATTTTCTGTTCCGAGTAATTTTGAGGTGAAGTACCTCTGCACTCCCTCGACTTTCAATTTGTCCTCTATGCGTGTACTACTATACATGAATGAATAGTAATCAAATAAAGGACGCACACAAACCTTGAACAACAGAATTCTGGACTCATTTCTGCAGAAGTTCCTGAGTAGAAAGCCGATGAGTCTGCATGACTTTGACACTTGTTTGGAGATATGTTTAGAAAATGATAATTCATGTAGGTATTTCAGTCCTAGGTCCAATACAGATTCCAGTCGTAAGAGTACATGGCCTTGAGTTGTCACGTGAAGTTCTAAATTGTTGCATGTCGCACAAAAGGCCTACAGAGAGCTTCGGTGCACTGTTTGAGAGCAGATGGTCTGATGACGTCACAACCTGGGGACTTCCCAGGTGTGAGTCGCTGTAGCTTACCTGGTACTACAGACGGGTTTATTTGGGGAATAGCCCAAAGGTCTTCCTCCTGTGAAATAGTTGTGCCACCATTTGGTCCCAACGGTAATACCCACATTGCTGTTTAGCCGTTTGGAGAAGGTTAAACTGAATGTTTCAGCCATCTCCAGACTAGTGAGATATTGGCCGTCTGGGCCTACTAAGGCGCATGCCTCCTAGTTGGTGGGTTTTGTTTCAGATATAAATCAATACAAGTTTTTGGGGTTTGCTAAGAATTTTTTCAAGGTCAGCCTGGAATGACCTCCCGTCACTCCTGACTCTCGCGTAGCACCTGTTTCTGGCTCTTAGATGCGCACCACATAAACCAAGCCTTCCGCTTTGCTTACAGAATACGTTGCGTGCCTATCTTCAACCATGACGTCTTCCTCCTGGGCTGTGTTGTGACTAAAGGGACGGTATCCGAGACTGCTGTATGAATAATCTTTTTTGCTACTTCCCAGTGTTCATCCATTGATAGCTCATCCCGTGCTAAGGGCCAGTCTGCGTCGGATAAGGGCCTACGTATTTCAGCATATGCAGCTTTGCTATGACACAGACATGGTCGCGTAACATCCCACTGCAAACGCTCACGGAGAACGAGATCGAAACCTATGGTTGCGTGGTCACTACTTCCTAGAGGAGTCATGATCTGGACTTTTTCGACGAGTAGTTGGTCACTAGTTAGAATACAGTCTAGTTTTGATGACTTTCCACTAGGGCCCCACCTAGTGTCATCTCCAAAATTCTCAGTTAGTCCCGTGTTTCAAATAGTTTGCAGTAGGTTTCGGCCAAATTTTCCCTTAGCACACCCCGAGCCGAGGTTCAGTGATGGGGCATTGAAATCTCCAGTTATGGCGATTTGGTCGTAGCCCAAATCTCGTATCCCTGTGATAGTGCTGAGCAGTAGCTGATTGTGCTCTGCTCCACAGGTGAGAGATCGGTAGATGCCACCCAGTAAGTGCTTGGTGTGGCCTACGGTGAAATGACACCATATGGAGCCTGGGAGTTCATACCGACCCTGAAGACTAGTGTAGGTCTCATCTGTTCTGTTACTGCGCCTGCATTGCCACAGTCTAGCACTGAAACGGCGCTTGTAATACAAGGTGGACAGGATACTAAACCTGCATCCACTTAAAGCCAGTGCATGAAACACAGCAAAACGAAAAAGAAAAGGCTCAAGACGTCATAAGACCTCAAAAGCGTCATCAAGAAGGGGAGATGAATATCAGGCATGTAATATCATCGTTTCTAAAACTGACTCAGCTTTCGAGTGCATTTTTTGCAAAGAATTAATGCACTGCCGTTATGACAAAGG